AAATGTTTTGAGTGAATATGAGCTCATTAGCTACATATTTGAGGTCAAATGCTTAAAAGAAAGCTCCCAGGGCTGGGGAATAATCCTCTGAGGTTTTGCCATCATGAGACAGAGAGGATGATAACTTAGATATATCTGTATGTTTGATATGCTCTGCCTGGTACTCAAGCTGGCTTTTTGTGAGTGTGTAAATACTTAAGTATTTCCAAAGCCCTAAGAACATAATTACCAGAAGGCTGACACACATCAAAACCAACCTCATGCTGCTAGCAGCCTATAAGTTGAGATAATGTCTGCACTAGACATGATTAATCACAAAATTAAAACATAAGTACCAGCCGAAAGGAGTGAAAGAGCAAATTTATAAGGAAGTGACACAAAAAGCAGTGATCAGAACTTGACCTTTGGGAATCTACCTATTGAACCAAAATTTCTGGAGTCGAAATACCAAATTTAAGTCTTCTGCTCTTGTAACATGCAGCGAATATATGGCTTTGTCATTCAGTGTAAATTGGGTGTGCACTTCTAAAAATCAGTGACTATGTCTTAGAATACACTGCAACAAGAATTTCTCAAGACCAATGTTTTGCCAAACATTGTGTGAGAGGCAAAGTGAAGGAGACTTAGATTATGCATGTCCTCATAGAGTCCAGCTGTGGAGAATAAAGTCTGACTCATTTCAGGGAAAATGTGCTGATTGGTACAGATGTTCAACTCATTTTCAAGTGAGAGAAAGAGAGTGGAGTTAGGGTATCAGGGGTGGTAGAACTCTTTCTGATAGTATTGTGAACTTGCCAAGAGTTCAGGCTTTATCTAAAAAAGTTTGGATTTGAATTCTGCCTCAGTCACCATTCAGCTGTCTGTGCTCAAAGGAATTTAGTTGTCCTTTCTGAGCCTCAGGCACTTTATATGCCAAATGGTCATATGGATAATACTTTCACATAATCTCTCTGAATATTGATTGGTCTGGTTTGCTCAGTGCTTCCCACTCAGTTTTCCAGATGCATAGAGAGAAAAGACTGACTGTAGAAGGTAGAGCCAGATGACCATGGGCGGGCGATGGGTCTTTATCATTCTCAGAGAAAACACTAGCTCAGTGCTAGGAGCCAATGTGCCTTGTAAGTTATTACAGTGTAGTGCCTACATGTGGTAACTGGGGCAGCAAGAAGCTCAAAATTTGCTAGCTAATTGACTGGGCTGCAGCACAGAAAGTGAAACAGTCTTTGTATTTTTAGATCATCCATCATTTTTTACTGTGAGTTTTCAAGTTGTAAGTAAAATTCTCAACAATTATACTTGAGTCATTTTCTAAGAATCCCCTCCCCTTCTTGAATCTCTCTAGTATTACCATTGATTCTAAATCATTCAGTATAACACACCCATTTTTTTTCTGTTGACTGTGCCCCCTCACGTAATCACCTACAGATGGTGATAGGAAGATAAGGAAGCCTAGGTTATAAATGCAAGAGGAAACAGTATGGGACAGTTGTTAGTTTCAGGGGTAAATGTGTCTGATTGCTTTAAGAGAGAAATCCAAGGCCATGGGAAGAAAAATAACCACACTCAAGATGCAGGTTGGAGAACAAGCATTACCTCTACAAGGAGATGCTGCGACTTTTCAAAATTTAGGATACCAGTACTTATCTCTTTAATTCCCACGTGCTTTTTTTTAAATCTAAGGATAGCATTAATTATCTTAGAAAAGTCTAATCTCTACTCTTGTGTTTGAAACTGTGAACAGGGAGATGTTTTAAACATTATGAAAAGAAGAGAAAATCTCTCTTGACAAATAAATGCCTTGAAAAATTAGATATTAGTACTAGTCAAGTGCTCTTTCCTTTCAGAAACATTAAAATTGCATATTAGAATGGAAGGATCTTTATACTACACTCCTTCCTAATGCCACAAAAAATAAGACTGTAGGAACAATTCCAGACAAAAGATTATATGAAACATCCAGCTCTTCCCCTTATGGGAAATTTTTTTATAACATCCCAGGCTCAATCATTTCCTAATGTGAAATTACAGATTTTTCAAATTACCATATAAAACTGCAAAAAAATTACACTTGTGACCACAGAAAAGATAGCATACAGTATCAATTTGATTTTAAAAGGCATATATCTTTTCTACTACCTGTCATCTTTATAATGCCTTTTACAAATTTAATCAATACATTTTAACATTCTATATACTTTAAGTGCAATATACAATAAATATTCAACTTTCATCTTAAACATGCTTTAGCCTTTAAATTGTTAAAACTGCAGTGCCCTTTCAATCTACTTACATAATGTCATAAAATATACATTTCAAGGTAAATGAAGTCAGCTACTTCAATTTAGTCCCTCAAACTGGTAGTAAATGAGAGGTTAACACTATGGTGCCAAACCCATTATTGAGTAAATTTAGCACCTTGGACAGCTCTGTAAAATCTTTATTGCTTTCCTGACCTGCTCGTCATGTTCTGTCTGTGTGTTCAGTGGCTCTCAGCTCTGATTGAAAGGCAATATATTAGATCCCCAACACAAACACGCTTGGGGGCTAGTTCACTGGGAACGTAAATGACATGGAGGTGAGAGCAATTTTCTGGTCACCGAAATCCAAGCACCTTGCAGGTTCACTGCATGAACTCATAGAGGACCCAGAAAAAGCCTTTCTCCTTCCTATTTGCAGAAATAACTAATAGAGGCTGAATCACACTGGCCAAGCTGATCCAGATGCAGGATCTCCCTTAAACTCTCTAGTTGATACTGCAGTGAAGGACATTTTTAAATGGTCAGAGATAACAGTTAAGAGCATTACTTCCAAGGGAGAAAAATCCTGAGCAGTGCTGTGTTGGGGAGACACCCACACCCATGTGGTGAATGGGGGAAACATGCTCCACCATCCCTACATCCAAGGGGGCATGGAAAATCAAGGAAAGATGCAGTTTAGGAAAATAGGTTCATGTGTTTCATGTGGATTAGTGACCAGAGCTCTGGGTATTAGAATAAAGAGAAATAAAAACATGGATTATGTCATTGAAAAACTTTATCATAAAAAGATAAAAACATTTACTACTAGAATACAGAATACATACAAAACAGATGGTTTTTTTCCCCCATGTTTACAAAAACTTAAAAAAGTTGGATTTAACAGATTAACATAACTAAGAAGGGAACAAGTTCCTAATTATAGTGTCAGAAGAATGAAATCACTAAGTCCAGCTTTCTACCAACTTCACCGTGCTTGTGACAAACAGGAAACATGTTCCCTTCTTTTTCAAATGGAAAGAAGCAAAAGTATTGTTTCCACCTGGTCTCAAACATTTATTTGAAGAAATAAATGAGTATAGACCCAGAGAAGTAAAATCTTAGCAAATAAACTCGCTTGGTCTTATTTTGTTTTAATCTTTCCTAAGAGCTAGATAAAACCAAGAGGTTTTACAGAAAGTGACACAAGCTGAATTTGATCTGGGGATAGGGTTTAGTGTGCCCATACCATAGTAAATTATTAACTGCGGGGATCAGACAATATTGCAAACAAAAAGTAGTAAATTACCTTGTAGCTTGCATTTAAAAGTAAAGAACTGATTTTAGGTGTATTAATTCAGTCTCCATTGATTATATAATGCTTTTCTCTACATAAGAAATAACTGTATTTTATAAGAGGGTTGAGCAACTTAAGGTAAACAAATGTTTATTGAGAATTGAAAACCCCACTCTCTCATTTTTGAATTTAGGACATTATATATGTCATAAGTAGCTACTGCAGTGTGACATCTGTTTTATCATATATTACAGAGAATTTTAAATTGGAAATGCTAATATGTATCTAAAAGCTTGTCATTTCAAGAATTGTTCAGGATTTTTGAAGAGGCTATGGTGACAGCAAAATGGATGCAATTATATTCCTATTTTCTGATCAGCATTTGTAGTATATGAAAATTTAACACTACTGCTTTTCCATGCAGAAATTTATTGTGTAAAATACCAAAAGTTGAACTTCTGCTTGAATTTTTCCCACAGCAAAAATGTGATAAAACTGTGTTTGTGCAGATCAGCTCAGGCAATCATACCACCTTTTGGTTGGGTTTGGTGATAAGTTCCCATTTCTGTACGCACCAACTCAGACTGTGCTCGCCTCTTCACTTTGAGTTGCTTAAAAATGAATCTGTAGACAAGCAGAGATAAATTCAGAGTATTGTTTCTTTTGGTTAGAACTTTAAAAAAATTACCATGGTATGCACTTGTACAACGCATGCAAAGTAAGTATGGAAGCCCACCTAAATGAAAAGAGAGATTTTCTTTTTCCTTTAGCTGGAATGAGCAACAGAGCGTAAACAGCCCATCTAAGAGTGAGTGAGCAAATGGGGAAAATGAAAAACAACACTGAAATAGCAAAGAATTGCTACGAAGCACACAGGTGCTCCTGGGGACAGGAGGATCCTTTTGTAAGAGCCTTTGACAAACAGTGCATTGTCTCAGCATGCCAGCTTACTACATCACCCCTTATATCATGACTCTACCATACAAGGAGATAAACAAAACAAGTTTAATGCTGCATGCTTCTGGTAGCTGAAGATTGATTGGAAATCCCTTGAAAATGATCTGTCTGATAAGGTCATGGTTCCAGGAATAAGCAATTAAGTGCAGAATAAACACATCTTAGGGATTCATAACATGCACTGAATGACATCGATTGTAGTAATATAGTAAATGACCTCGGAATTGTATTCTGCAATAAACATATGAGTGCTTTCTCGTGGCCATAGCGAACTTGTTGAGTGGTGTATTTTATCTTGTAGTACCAGTAATGTTCACCTTTTGACTCAATTAAGTGTGTGTATGTGAACAGGATAAATTGATGATTGAACACCATTTTAAGGTTCTCTAAGCTACTGCCTTTATTGCAGTGTGTTGGCAAACTATGTCCAGAAGGGTCTGAACAGGATTATGTGCACAGATACTGGCAGCCTGCCTTCACTCAGAGGATGGTGTCTGCTTTTCTGTTGACAGGAAGTAATTCTCAAAAGGGCTGCGGACCTGGTGGAAGCGCTGTATGGGATGCCGCACAACAACCAGGTGAGTGCCTGTGGCTTCTAACTGTGCTAGATCTCTGCATTCAGTTGAAGACCTCAGATCCCTTGTTGTATGAAAATGCATAATCATCCTAACAAACCACACACATGAGTAATTTAGACATAGCTCCTGAGGTGGGTGCTCAAGCAAGCCTCTCTGTTTTGTAGGTCTTGTCTTGCCTTACTGAATCATTCTCCTTACCAGAAGTTTCTCCGTGTAAAGCAAATTGGTAATGGGACTGTACTTGATAACTGGTGATTTATTGCTCTCGGGTTTTCAAGCAAATGTAGCAGGAGAATAAAAAGGTTTTAAGTTCTTTTCCTGAGAAAGATAATGAGGCCTGAAGAGTACTGTTAGCTCTGCTTTGTAGAGCCACTTCATGCATGGGATCCCAGTTGTGTTGAAAACTTCGAGTCTGACTAATCGCTCCCTCCATTTCACTTTTGTTGTGTCACCTGAGTTGGTACCCAAGGGACATAAAATATTACTAATGCTCAGAGACCCATGTAGTCATCCCCAGCCTGCGCTGAACCTTGGCAGGAGGGAAAACTGGAGTTTCTCTGTTTCTCACCCTCCTGCCCCTGACGTTCCTGAGTGTTTCTGGGGGCAGTGGGAAAGCCCCCTGGCTCTGATGTTCTGACTGCCGTGGACTGTTCAGGTCTGACCTAGGAGAATTATGAATGTCAGCTGTGTCCTTAAATAGGTGAGTGCCTTTAAGTGAAGTCTTTGCTTTCTGCACCTCAGTTTCCCCCTGGGTCATATGGCCATGGTGATGATGAGATTAACCATATGGGCTTTTAGACAGGGTCACAGGAGTTCCTGCAACGAGCCACTGAGACCCTGAGCATGGTGGTCAGCATAGAATAAGTATTCCAAAATGATATTAGTAGGAAGCTGAAGCGGTGCTTCCTTTGTCTTTTCAGGAGATTATTCTGAAGAGAGCGGCTGACATCGCAGAGGCTCTGTACAGCGTGCCCCGCAATCACAACCAGCTCCCAGCTCTCACTAACACCTCAGTCCATGCAGGGATGATGGGCGTGAATTCCTTCAGTGGACAACTGGCTGTGAATGTCTCCGAGGCATCACAAGGCACCAATCAAGGTCAGGGCTTGCTCTTTTTCCCTCGCCTTTTCCCACCCCCACTGCCATTTGTCATCAATGTTGTTTTCTTTGAAAAATCATTTTCTTCTCCAAGGGGAGATTCCTGGCCTGTGTATGCCAGAGTAGTTTTGGTTCTAACGCTCCTTCTGGTATAGAGGGCTGGGGAGCATGTATACATTTAGCTCTTTCCACATTTGACTTTTCACGATGAACCGTGAATGACAGATCACAAAGAGGATTAGAATTAAAGTTCTGAGGCCCCATGGCATATCCTTCTTGCCCGGGGAATAGGAACCTGTGAACTCCAGGGTGCATCTCTTAGATTGGGATTTATTTCTGCTCCAAAATGATAATTTATAGACCCTGCATTGCCACTTCTCACAGCCCTGCTAAGTATTTATGATCTGCTAAGAAATGTGTCTTTTGCTCACTTCCCATTTTAATCATAAAGCAAGCACCACCAACCCACACATATGAGTCACCCGAGCCCTTCCCTCTGGGTTGCAGCGAGCCGGCAAGAAGCAGAGACCTCCCTCACCCAACCCTTCCAGGACGGCTACCATCTCAACACCATCCTCACTCTGGCTTTGCCCCTGTCCTTCCTCAGGTTTCACCCGCAACTCAAGCAGTGTGTCACCCCATGGCTACGTGCCGAGCACCACCCCACAACAGACCAACTACAACTCAGTCACCACAAGCATGAATGGCTACGGCTCAGCTGCCATGTCCAATCTGGGCGGCTCCCCGACTTTCCTCAATGGCTCAGCTGCCAACTCACCCTATGCCAGTAAGTAGAGACATGTGTCCTGTCTGGTATCACTAGAACCCCCATCTTTCGTGATGCTGCTAATGGCATCCTCATCTCCCATCCCACAAAGTCTCTCTGGCAGTCAGAACTTTGCTGTAGCAGCTAGAGGAGAACATTCCAAGAGCCCCAACTAGAAGGCCTATATGCCTGCTTCAATCTACTGGGGCCTGAGGGCAAAGGGCAAGTTCATTTCTCCATCCAAGAATCAGTTATTTTCCCCCCTCTGGCAAATAGAGAAAAAGAAATTAGCACCTATCTTAACTGGCGCTGTGAGCCCAACCTCAGAGCATGCACACAGTGAGCTCGTCCTGAGGTCCAGCTTGTGAGAGCTGCAGCCCCAAGTCTACGAAACAATCCACAGTCCTGGTGAGAACAGTGATGGGGCAGTGTAGCCACATGACCGAAAACCCCAACTCTCCTCTTTTACCAACACAACTCCTTATTTTGCTTATGTTTTGGGGGTACTTAAAAATACAATCAAAAAATACTTTATTTCCCCCCCAAAAGTACACACATACACAAGAAGCTTTATATTTTTTGGTGCCTTGTATTCCTTCTAGGTTAAGCAATTTTTTAAAGTACAGTATTTAGTTTACATCTAAATGGCCTCAGCCAACTGGTGTCTTTAAATTCATATATAAAATGTCATGAACCATTTTCTTCATGACCTTCCAATCTCCCCCTGGGGATTTTTTTCTGTAGAGAAGCAAGTCAATCTTAGACATTGTAGGTGCTTCATCTATTTGTAAGATGTAGCCACACTTTTAGATATTTGTAGGATGAGCTTGTTATATGAAAGAGTAATTGAAAGATTTTTTTAAAGAATATTGGCTAAACACTCTAAAAATTATGCTCTCTCATAGCAGAAGTGTGGAATGTGCTACTCTTTTCAGAGAAATGATTTTTAAAAGTACAGTTAGGGTCTTTTTTTGTTTTTTGTTTTTTGCTTTGGGTTTATACACTAAATATTTTAAATCTATTTCTGTGGAATCAGCACTTTGTAGAACATTTAAATTCCACCAAGTAATGTCCAGATCTGATGTCTGTCTGATATGCAGCGTCAGTTGTACTTTAGATTTTGATTTATTGAAAGATTACCTCTCATGGATTTATCATTTCCGTGGTCTCCATCTATTCAATCAGAATATGTTTCAATCATGACCTGAAAATTAAAAGGTGGCATTCTTAATTAAATCAATAAACTAATTGCTATATGGTAGCAATTCAATTTAGGGGCTTGGGTTTTTCTCCTCAAGCCTGTACAGACACCCAGTGATGTGAGCCTGAGATTGCATCTGTCAGACTGTGAACATTTAATTTCCATTAATTGATTTCCTCAGTGCTCACAAATATAGTATTAAATTCTCAAATAGGCTCTCAGATGGGACGGTTTTATCTGCATAAATGCAAATAAAACAATAAACACAAAGCCCAGTTGATTTGAGTTTTTGCCTCTATAATATTTAATTATTCATAAACCATTCATGTTGAAAAATTTCGATGGAATGAAAAAATAACATCAGCCCTTCCACTGGTGAACATACTCTGGTGTGGTGGCTGATAACTAATAATGTTGTAACGAATGGAGCTGCTGGACTGTATTTCACCCCTCTCTGCTAGCCACCCTCCCCACCTCTAAATACACATAATGATCGCATTTGCCAACGAGATTAATTGCCTTCCTCAGCGAACCAGCAGGATTTCAAGTCTACGAATATTTAAAAATCAAACCTCCAGTGCAGGAGTTTTGCAATTTAAATGGCTGTTATTATTGAGCGTATTTTCACATTTACAAATCCTAAGAGATGTATAAAAATGCTGGCTTCATTAAAAGAAAAAGTACAGTTTAGGAAATGTTTGTGAAAACTCAGAGGACGGCAGCCCTATGTTCTGCTCCATAAAGCATCCGGCGCATGGGGATTCTGTCCTGCCTTGGGTGTGCCTGAGAGGGACCATTCCTGCCTCCAACCCACTGGAGTCCCACTTGCCCAACCTTTCAGAGCCTCGTTAGAGCATGTGTAAGGCCACCCGGACCGCTCTGTGCATTCCGGCAGACTCAGGGAAGAGCGATTCTCAAGATCTGTTTCCTTCACAGAGTGGTGCAGAGGAAGCGGCGCTGGAGTTGGGTTTGATTTGTGGCTTCACAGCATTAGCTCTGCCCTTGGGGAAGTCACATAACTACCTTTTGAGTTTCAGCTTGATTGACCTAACTGTAAAACATGCATAATTGGCCCGACTTCAAGCTGCTTTGCCAAAGACAAGATGAGGAAGACAGGAGAAGGTTCTTAGGAATCGTAAAGCCAAATGAAATGTTTATGAAGTGATGGGGGAAAATAATGAAATAGAAGGTAATACCTAATGGGACAAAGTTCATACTTTGCTGTAGAATATAGAAAGTGAATGAATGAAAGCACTATGCTTGACTTGGTGTGTACAGAAGTGTCCTGGGAAGTAACCAAGAGATGATTAGCCATGAGCAAAAGCCAATGGCAGGGCTGAGAGGACTTGGTGGGTAGAGAAGATGTGTCTACCAAACTCTCATATCTCCAAGCAACTAGGTCCTTTCCTCTCTGAATTGCCACATTCTCTCTCATTGATTATTTGCAGCCTTTCCACTGCCATACTGGAGGTATTTACAAAATGACTGCTTTTTAATTTATACTTATATCCATGGAGCTTTTTATAAAAGAATTTGGAACTTGAAATTCTAGTTTTGCATTTCCCACAGATGCTGCATGTGGTAGCCTGCTTATCCATCTGACATCCTACCATGTGCATATGGTAGAGCATTGAGGTACAGTTGTATCAACAACATTGACCTCATGGAGAGGAACTACACACGTTATCAGCTCTCAGTGCCGTATGTTGGAATCCTGCTTTTTCCCCATACTTCTGATCCCATCAGTGTCCTTGCCTTCTCCTGGACCTCCTGCCCCTCGTATTCTTTACCCTTTGTGAGAACTGGACTGTCTCCTCTGAATGATTGCACAGAATTGGTCATGCTCATTTAGGTCACTGTTTTGTGCTGCTCTATTCCTGGGAAGTCAGTGCTTCAGTTCCCTGGCCTAGAGAACTCTGAGGATGGCATTCTGATGCATAAAATACTCAGTGACCTGAGTAATTATGGTGGTATGACCCTCTAAGAGTAGTTGCTGCTTGGGACTCCGATCCTAGCATACTGCTGGCACACAGTTGGCTCAGATATGCACCCCAAGATGACCAACACTTAAAGTTAACACATGACAAGTACCAGGTCATGGATGCAGGCGGGATCCTGAGATAATCAATCAAGCAGGGTGACTGGGCAGTGGCGAGGCCTGAGCCCCAGGATGGCCTAGCTAGCTGACCAGGCAGTGGCTGGGCCTGAACCTTCTCATCACAGGACGCTATGAGAGGCACTGACTTCTCCTTCCCATTGCTCCTTTCAGTTGTGCCATCCAGTCCCACCATGGCCTCCTCCACAAGCCTCCCCTCCAACTGCAGCAGCTCCTCGGGCATCTTTTCCTTCTCACCAGCCAACATGGTGTCAGCCGTGAAGCAGAAGAGTGCTTTTGCACCTGTCGTCAGACCCCAGACTTCCCCGCCTCCCACCTGCACCAGCACCAATGGGAACAGCCTGCAAGGTAAGCCCCAGACCCAGATGGCTGTGCCCTGGACACACCTTCTCTGAGCCTGAAGCAGCTGAGTGGATACATCTTGAGCCTACCTGCTTGTCTTTGCCCACTCGTCTTATGGTCCCTTTGTTTTCTCTCCCTTCAACCCTGGCTTATGGTACTCCTCACCCCTCCAATGCTGGAGTGGTTCAAGGACTCCTTCCAACTCTAGCAATTCTCCTAGGGCCCACGACTTGGCTTGGAAATATTGTGGAAATATTGTTTCCACTTATAACCATCATTTTTCTTTTGTCCTCTTACTCCCTATTGTGGCTACTTTCAGACCAGTCTTGTGGACTCTAGCAAGTTTCCCAGTGTAGGGCCTTTTCCCAGAAGTGTTCTTCTCCTAAAGTAAGTCACACAACCTTCCCCTATATATTCTACTCTACTCTACTCTACTCTTTCTTTCTTTCTTTCTTTCTTTCTTTCTTTCTTTCTTTCTTTCTTTCTTTCTTTCTTTCTTTCTTCCTTCCTTCCTTCCTTCCTTCCTTCCTTCCTTCCTTCCTTCCTTCCTTCCTTCCTTCCTTCCTTCCTTCCTTCCTTCCTTCCTTCCTTCCTTCCTTCCTTCCTTCCTTCCTTCCTTCCTTCCTTCCTTCCTTCCTTCCTTCCTTCCTTCCTTCCTTCCTTCCTTCCTTCCTTCCTTCCTTCCTTCCTTCCTTCCTTCCTTCCTTCCTTCCTTCCTTCCTTCCTTCCTTCCTTCCTTCCTTCCTTCCTTCCTTCCTTCCTTCCTTCCTTCCTTCCTTCCTTCCTTCCTTCCTTCCTTCCTTCCTTCCTTCCTTCCTTCCTTCCTTCCTTCCTTCCTTCCTTCCTTCCTTCCTTCCTTCCTTCCTTCCTTCCTTCCTTCCTTCCTTCCTTCCTTCCTTCCTTCCTTCCTTCCTTCCTTCCTTCCTTCCTTCCTTCCTTCCTTCCTTCCTTCCTTCCTTCTTTCTTTCTTTCTTTCTTTCTTTCTTTCTTTCTTTCTTTCTTTCTTTCTTTCCTCACCTGACACCCCGTCCCCCTCAAATCGCACTTACCTCATGCTTCTGCCTCCTGTTGCACCCAGACATACCACAAGGACAATTTAACCGCTAACCTGGCTACACACTCCGACAATCCATCCTGTTACAAAGAGCAAAGAAATCTGCCCGAGGAACACACCTTTCAAGCATCTTACTCATGACAGGGAATACTTACCCTCCACAAAGAGGAACCAATTCATGCAAGCAAGCCTGCCTCTTCTTCGGCTAAAAGTGATGATGTTTGGTCACCTTTTAGGTCACTTGCAGCTGACAAATCAGGAATGTAAGCAATCATTGCTCTTAATAGGTGGAGATCTTGGTAACCTGTATGGAAAAAGAAAATACAGCATCTTGAGCTACCAGACTGAATTCTTTTCACTGTTGGGAACAGGATGTGCTGGGATTTGTAGTAAGGAGCTGAAGAATGGGGACTCGGGAAGCAGGGCTGATCTGTAAGATGGTCAGCAGTGGTATTCCTGTCCATGGGACATTGGTGGTTGGTTCTTTGGTGAGGCCTAATGCCTTTTCATGCCACATGCTTCTAGCAGGTGGGGGGGAAGGGTGAGATAGGGCAGAAAGTAGAGGCTGGACCCAGCTTACAGATCCTGTTTGGTTGGAAAAGGAACTTGAGCCTCTGTGTGTTTGTTGGGTTGAGGGATTTGTGTTTAATGATGAAACCCAGTGTGTGTGTTTGTGCTCTAGGGCAAATGTAGGAGACGGTCACCTCTGAGCAGGAGCTGAGTCTCTGTCACTGTCCCATTTTCTCACACTTAACCACACAACATGGAGAGCTTGTGGTCTGAGTCCGGGACTTGTGGAAGAACAAGTGTAAGGTGATTTTCCAGGGACCCCCATCTCCTCCTCTCACCATTCAGCATCATTGAAAGATGTAGTGTTGTGTTCCGAACGTTCCTACTTCTGAGCAGGTGATGATGGCAGTGGAGGTATGGCTAGAAAAATGAAAAACTGAAGTGAGACCATATTCCTTGAACCTGTCCACTTCACAGCCAGCTCTCACTCCCTGCAACCATACACACACTGCCCACCGAGAGCCACACCTTCTCCCCCTAGCACACAATCTCCCACAGGGATAATACCATTTTTCTGCTGTGATTCTTGCTTAGGCCTTTGAGGCACTACTGAGAAAAAGTGACGGTCTGACAGTGGGCTTCTAGAATAACTTCACCTTTAGGTCTTTAAATTCCACTGCTACCATTCCAAAGGGCTATGTGTGCATTGTAGAATAGAGGTAAGGATCCCTGAATGCATTTCATTTTCAAAAACTGTTTTATCTGAGAGAGAGAGGGAATTTGATTCTATGCACAGGGTCAATTCCTAAGTGCCTACAATGACTGAGTGCTGGGCCAAGCTGAGGCCAGGAGTTGATACTTGACATTCCCTGTGTATAGGAGGGAGCTAAGTGCTTGAGTCATCCCCTGCTGCCTCCCAAGCAGGAAGCTGCAATCAGAAGAGCCAGGGCTTGAACTCAAGCACTGCAACATGGGAAGCAGGCATTCCTGGCATCTTTTTTCAATAATGAAAAAAAGACAGGTTTACAGAGAGAAGGCAAGAAAGATGGTCCATCCACTGGTTCACTCCCTAAGTTACTGCAATGGCTGGAGCTGAGCTGATCCAAAGCCAGGAGCTTCTTCTGGGTCGCCCATATGGGTGCAGGGTTCCAAACCTTTGGCAATCTTCTACTGCTTTCCCAAGCTACCGGCTGGATGGGAAGTGGAGCAGCCAGCAAATGAACTGGTGCCCATATGGGATCCCAGCATGTGCAAGGCGAGGACTTTAGCCACTAGGCTAGTGCGCCAGACCCTTGTGTTGGCATCTTAACTACTGCCCCAAGCACCCACTCTTCCCTTCTTTTCAGTGCTCTAGTAGCACCTCCTATATTCGGATCCACAACATTCTTGATTGTGATCATTAACACGGGGCTAGTGATGGAGGAGTTGGTTAAGCAAATCGACCATGTAAACTAGATTAGAGGTGACACATTTATGCTGTTTAAAGGCCTATTTACCTCCAACTGCCACTTGCTAATTGTCCGTCATTCTACTTTTTGAAAGCTTATTCCTTAAAAACCTCTTCCCTAGCATCTTTCACTTAGCCTCCCCTGGTTACTGTGTGTGTATTTCTTCCCAAACAAGGAAACATTACAATCTCGTATGGAGATTGTAAGGATGCTCACACCACTAATGGAGAAGGCACTGTTCCCTCCCTGGCTGCTGCATGATCTCAGCTATTCCTCTCAGCCACCCTTTTGATGTCGACTATTGATTATCCCCATTTTACAGACATGGACATTGAGACATAGAGAGAAGATGGCTTGTCCCGAGTTGCACAGCTAGCAAACAGGGAAGCCTGGACCTTACAATCTTTCCCTGCAATCGGAAGACACATACCTGAGTAAGGCAGAGCTGTCTGGAAGAAGCCGGGCATAAGAGTTGGGGAGTTGGGCCCGGTGCGGTGGCACAGTGGTTAAGGTCCTCACCTTGCACGCCCGGGATCCCAGATGGGCGCCAGTTCTATCCCGGCAGCCCCACTTCCCTTCCAGCTCCCTGCCTGTGGCCTGGGAAAGCGGTCGAGGACGGCCCAAGGCGTTGGGACCCTGCACCCGCGTGGGAGACCCGGAAGAGGCTCCTGGCTTCGGACTGGCATAGCATCGGCCGTTGCGCTCACTTGGGGAGTGAATCATTGCACGGAAGATCTTCCTCTCTGTCTCTCCTCTCTGTATATCCGCCTTTCCAATAAAAAAATAATAAAAATAAATCTTTTAAAAAAATAAAAAAAAAAGAGTTGGGGAGTGAAAAGGGAGGGAAGATCAGAGTGAGACTGGAACAGTGCCAAGGAGGGGGTTGCCTTTTCGTGAGATCCTGGGAAAGAGCAAGCAGGATTCAGTGGGAGACTGGAAGAGAGGCAGCTGAAGCAGAAGCATTGAGAGAAACAGACTCAAGGAGTGGAGGCAGGCAACTCTCCTGCAAGTGTCTCAGCTGCCTGAACGGAGCACAGAGGTCAGGGAGCACAGGGAACATGTTGACAAAGGTGGTCTCTACCTGGAGTCGGGCTCCATTTCATTATCCATATTCTAGAATTCACATGTCCTTCTGCATTCAGGTGCCTTTGTCTTCCCATTGTAGGCCAGCGACTTGTGTGGCCAACTCTGTCCAGCTGTTGCCTGTAGAGATCTCCCTTCAAAGCTCATGCAGATTGGAGCATAGATTTAGACAATTCAGGACTCAGAGAACTTAATCAAGAGAGGCAGCACTGAGGCAGCCACCACCTGCTAGTGGAGCTTCCATCAGCACTGGAATTCACACTCCAGCCTTGTCCTAGAAGAGACAGACAGCAAAGGCCTAAAAACAAAAGGGCCAGTAGGAGTCAGTACATGCGGATACATTTTTCCTTCCCCATATTGCTAAGTTCAGGACGTGGCTCCTCTTGACCCTGGAGAGCTGGTGTGCTGTCCAGCACCGTGAGGTCATCATCTTCTCCATGCACATTTCAGTTTGTCAACGTTCACCAAGCCATCATGACACCACCACACTACCACCCCCTGTTCCTGATAAGCTGTCATTCTCTCTCTCTCTCTCTCTCTCACACACACACACACACACAGTGGTTTGGAGAAGACCATTCTTGACACTTCCTGTTCACCCTCTCCCAGTTCTGCAAAATTTACCATTTTGTCATTGTTCTTATAAAAAACATGGAGATAATCCTGAGAAATGCCTTTAAGACCGAATCTTTTCCGTGCTTCTGTCTGAGACCATGTTGGCCCAAGCTGCTGGGGGAGACAGCGGAGCAAGCACGGTCTCATGATGACTGGGTATGTTGTGATGAGAGTGTGGTGTCCTCATGGGAATCTTTGTGGCCTCTATTTGGGCAAGTCTGCATGCCAGCGGCACTTCTGGAACATTCCAAGCTTCAGACACCCATCCCTCTCACCCACATAATTAATTTTCAGATTGCAGCACAGATATAAGGCAAACAGCCTCTAAATCCTGAGAGCCGCTGGCAAGCATGCAGTTTACTTACTTCATAAAGAAGTTTCTTGTGTGATGTGTCTGCTCAGGAGCAATGAACAGTGATCTTAGCGCAGAATTTACTTACCACCAAGGGTCTGCTCTTGGGGTCTTGGCAGTCATGGACAAGATGTAGGGCTCTGGAACTCACTGATATTGTTGTCGATAAAATCCTAGGCTGCCTTCTGCACAGAGTTCCACAGCTCCCATTAGACTCTCCCACAGATCTGTGGGTCAGTGAAGGAAAATGGGAAAGTAGGAACAGGCCACATCTACCCTCTAGAGATCCACAGATCTGTTTGCCTGTAATCTCAATTATTTGCTGACATGGATACACTAGGCTGTTTTCTTAAAATGCCACATCTCCAGCTGCTCTTGAAGTCACAAGTCTTGGTGGCTGTGAGCTGGCAGTATTGCACAGCAGAAGTTGGCAGCCCTGGTTTCATCACCTCCACCAATACCCAGGGGCTTTGCTAACTCCCTTCCCAGCCAGAGCTCCTGGGGCACAAGCCTTGCTACTTCTGGGATCCAGGTCAGGAAGTGCTCTTGGCTGCTGCCTGCCACACGAGTTATAGAACTTATAATGTGGCAGTGTTATCTCATGGATCTAACACATTTTTCAGGTACCCAACTGTTTATACCTTACAAGCAAAAAAGTCTAGCCACCCAGAAGGGAAGTTCTCAGGACCCCAGCTATAAATATTGGGTGGACATCTTGACCAAATTAGCAATATCAGCTCACTGACTCGTATTGACATTGCTCAGGTTTTATCCAGCTATACTACAGGAGACTTCTCTTTGGTGCCTGTCATACAGCACAGATTTTGTAAAAGTCAAAAGTTGATTGACCTCTTACAACTCCCACTGCATTTAGTGAGGGTGCTTGGGGGCCTGATATGATGACTCGGTGGCTAAATTCTTACCTTGCATCTGCCGGAATTCCATCTGAGCACTGGTTCCTATCCAAGCTGCTCCACTTTGCATCCAGCTCCCTATTTGTGGCCTTGGAAAGCAATAGAGGATGGCCCGCATCCTTGGGATTCTCTGGCCACATGAGAGACCCAGAAGAAACTCTTGACTTATGACTTCGGATGGGCTCCGTTCCTGCTGTTGCGGCCGCATAGAGGAGGGATGAACCAGCAGATAGAAGATCCATCTCTCTTTCTCTTTGTAAATCTATTTTTCTACTAACAATAAATAAATCCTTAAAAAATAAAAAATTATGGATACTTGGACCCCCTTCTAGCCTGGATGAAAACTTTATTATGGAGGAAGGGCTCTGTCAAGCCCCCTACACTGCCGTGCCTCTGGGGTCTCTGCACTTTGAATGCCGAAATTCAAAGTTGGATTAAAATACATATATTCCGGCTTTAGCCAAATCTAGGGTTCATTTGACTCGTGTGTGTGTGTTGGGGGTGGGGGGCACTGTGACTGCATTTTGATCTGATCCAAAATCTTTCAGGGGGTTTAAGTTGGTCTGCATTTTGGCAAAGGACAGCTTCCTGTTTCTATGAAAAAAAGGCTTAGGAGGGCTTACAAAAAGGACTCCAGGAGCTTTTGGCCTGAAAAGGGGCTCTTGCAAAACAACATTTGGATGATTTACGTGTAAATGAATCAGAAACATGTGGATTGAATTTCCTTGTGAATACAGATGGGTTTAAAAATTAACGGAAAAAGTGTTTGGCAAAATACTTTTGGGTTTTTCTCTTAATTGAATCTAAATGTCAGGGGTGAGGGCTGGGAAGCAGAAAAGTGGGGGCTCAGAGCCCCACCTCTCGGCCTCCCAGTGTCCACCACTGGATTTGTAGTAATGGGGTTCATTTAAAAAAAAGGCACATTCTTTCACACATGATCATTAGTGAATGAAGAAGACCACTTCCTAGACACAGTCATCACTTACAAGAACATTAATTTAAATTTAGAACTGCCAGTTAAAAGAAGACAAGGAGTTTTGCTGCCTGACAGGACACTGAAGGGTTCTTGGGAGTCGGAGGTGGCTGCCCCTGGGGTCTAATGCAGGAATGTCTCTCGCCTTGATGGATTTCAGAGTTGCTATCCTGTCTCAGTTGTCTTCCCCTCGTCAACCATCAAATGAAATGTGCATGCTTGATAAAAGAGCAAAGACAGCACAGAGAAGTTAAAACACTTAAAACAAGGTCACACAGCTAGTGTAGTAGCAAAATGATGGATTAAAAATCACAGCAGATAACTTCTATTAGGAACACCCTAAGGGAAGTTGGTAAATACATTTCTAGATAAGGAGACTGATATCCATGGAACCAAGTAACTGTCCTGGGATCATGCCAGAGTTGGAAGCTGACATACCCAGCTACACTCTCCAGATACCAGTAGGTGTGGCTGCCTGAATCTTAAACCTTCAACAGAATCTTGGTGACCTCAAAGAGCCTTCCTGTTCCCAGGATCTTTCCCCACTTTTCCTAGGCTGCAATTTTCTAGGAAGCATGATCAGAACATTCCAGAAACCATGAGTGAAGCTGTGGTGAGGAAGACATTCTGCAGCTTCCTGCCAACTTGCCTTCTCCTCCCACTCTGAGCTTTCTCCCAACTTCACATTCCCAGGGAACCCTGCCCGCCATCCTGGGGTGTGTCTCCTGCAGCCCGAGGTCTGGCCTGAAGGGTGCAGATGGCCTGGTGCTCAAACCAAGCCTGGCCAAGTTCCTGGCTGTTGTTGCTGTTGTTGGAAATGACTGGCAGTCATGAGGGATCAGCTCTTTACATTCTGAATGTGAAGTCAGGGCGGGGGGAGGGGGGACAGGGGGAGGGGTGGATAAGAGTGACAAATTGAAAATTCTCACTGTTTTGCAAGGTTCAAGGCTGTATCTTTCTCACTGGTATTCAAACTATTTAACTTTCCAGTCATGTTTTAAAATTGAAATCAGATTTGGAACAATGCTTGGGATATTCTGTTCAGTGAGGGACATATATGCATGCTGGTATAGTATGATATTTAATATACTGCACATACATTTATAACAAAAACTTATTCCAGAGAAGATTAGAGTGAGCACATGCATGGTTAATATTCATTCAACATAGATGTGTGTGTGTGTGTGTGCTTTTTCTTTTTTTCAAAAAAAATTTTTTTTCTCATTGAGAAGTTGGACACTAAGCCATTAACTCCTGTCTTCTCTTTCCATAGCGATATCTGGCATGATTGTTCCTCCCATGTGAAAGGATTGCCTTGAAGAATTTTATTAATGAAGAAGTTGGATTCTGCTACAGAGAGTAATCCGATACAAGTCCCAGAGTGGAACTTCTAACTCAGGCCTTTTTAAGAGGAATCACAGTAACTGCAGATTTTTAAACGAACAGAAACCACCGACCTTGCAGACACTGAAGTTGGAAGGAATCTGCAAGTGCAGGGTGTTGGTTAAAGTTGTACCTCCCTAGTGTTTGGGGGATATATTTATTCTGTGTTGATAAAAGCAAATTCATTTTTTCTTTTTTCTTTTTCTGTTTTTTTTTTTAAGCTTAACTCTGCAATCATTTGTCTTTTATAAACCGTAAAGCTATATACAAGGGACACTATAAATAAGACTCCATGTTTTAATTTATGATGTTTTTAAAGCTGTGTAAAGGGAGAATGAAGTGGTGATATTTACAAAAAAAAGTTTTTAAAAAAGAAAAAAAAAGCTTGTATGGGACAGAATAGGAATGCCAGTTAGATTTTTTTAGAAAACTAAGGGTCGGCTTTTGCGCCTTAAAGCATATCAAATGGTAGTTAGCTCAGACCGTGCATTTTCAGTATCTAACTTACCTTGCCATCCCTTAGCCGTGCAAGCCTGTTTATTTATCTCTTTCGTATTGTTGTCTTAAGTAACTGTGTATATAAATGCAGCCTGGAAAGTGAAAAATTGATGTCAGTGATCACATTTTTTCCCTTCTACTGAAAAAATCCAGTGCCTCTAGATAGCTCATTCAAACGCTTACTGAAACCTGCTATCCTTCCTCGTCTGACTTCTGCAGCCCTGGTCGCAAGCCCCGGGCCTCTGGGAGCCGAGAGCCACACTTACGCGAGGATCTCTCTTAAGACATCACAGAACAGGGTCCAGGCACAGAATTTCACACTCTGCCCTCCAGTTAACAAGCCAAATTCTCACTTATAATCCGCCATTTACCAGTTCAAAGTTTACTCATCCTCAAAGCTGACTTCCTCCCAATTCTTCAAAACCTGACTAAAGCAATGTGGCAGGTATTTCCATTTTTCTACTTGGAGATTGGGCTCTATCAATGGGCCCTTAGGTTCCTAACAGAAGATTCAAACAACAGGTTAAGTGCTTTGAGATTCAGAGTCAAAGGAAGCTGGGGGAAACAGAAGGTCCAGACCTCGAAAACAGTTTTCTGTTCTATGGAAATTTTTGCTCTCGTTATCTGGGAAGTGTTCTTAAAAATAGGGAGTTGATGGCAAACACGCAGCAAAGCTCTGAGGATGCATTCGCCTCGTGTGGTTTTTCTTTGCCGTTGTGTTTTTGTATGTAGTTATAAATACTGTAGATTTTTTGTGATTTTTTGCCAAAGTTGTTGTTCTATTTATACATTTTAATGTCTTAAGACAGTTTTTCAATATCACAAAAAGATTTTACTGCATATTTTGCAAAGAAAAAAAGCTCACTACCTTTAGCTTGCACATACTTGCAAAAGTTAATTAAAAGGCTTTTTGTTTTAACGGGGATTTTGTAAAATATCCATATAAATAATGTATTTATCTTTGGAATTTGTACATTGCTTTTCCCTTCCTTTCTTCCTCCCACCCTCAGTTTATTTTATTGTGTATGTTTGCTATGTGAAAAGTACGTATTTGTTTGGTCACCTACAGTTGTATTAGCTGTTTCAATGTGATTTTAAAACATTTCATTTATAGTTATTTTTAGTATTGTTTTAAACCATGCTTCAATTTTTTTTATTCCCACCCAAAAGCCATTGTCTATTTTTGTATTATTTGTAAGTTAAGAAGTTTTTTCCAATATATGGCAAAAAATAGTAGCATATTATTCTTGTAGTATTTAGTTCTGTAGATCAAAAACAAAATGTATCCTTTGCTTTGGAAGCTTACAAAAAACCCTAATGCTGTTTTACTCTATTAATATGCATGGAATCTCTCCCTTTGGAATAACGCATTTTGTGCATTAAATTCGGGGGAGAAACTTCATAGAAATCAATGAACATACTTTCTTTCTAAGTCTGCTTGTATATTTCCTCTGTCCTTCACATAAATATAAACCAGCAGATTGGATGCCTTAACCATGCAGATCATATTCATTTCACTTGTACATTGCAATTGTGCACCAGAATTCTCAGTCATCACTAACATTCTCAGAAAAAAAGGAAAAAAAAAAAGAAAAAAAAAACAAAGAAATTGAAAAGCACAAAAGAACTGTTTTGTTACCTTAAGACAATGTAACTTTTTCTAGTAGAGCAAGAAATCATTTACAACAATGCTGCAACTGTGCATGCCCCCATATGGATTTTGCAATGGTTTTCACTAGACTGTCAGAGTGCGATTTTTATGGGTCGGGGCGGGCGGGGGTGGGGAGCTGTGGGAGGGCAGGGAGGGATGAAAGCTGATTTTTCATGGTGAGAAATAATAATGATGATGACTGATAATAATAAAAACTGGAAAATGTAAGCAAGGTTTAGCGTTGCTTCTCGGTACTCAGAAAGGTGGTGTGATTCGTGTGGTCAACGCTGGCCTGAAGATGGATACAATGTAAAGCCATATTTTGTCTGGTGGTCCCCTTAACTGTTTGCGAAGGAACAGTGGTCAGCCAGTGAGGTGCCTGGCTCACTTAGCCCCGACAGCAGACACTACCCATCTGTCAGCCATGTGCAGTGGTTAGAACTTTTCTGGAAAGTCCAAAGAGCCTTTAAAATGCGTATGACTTGTGTTTTGTTGCATTTGTTTATATTGATTAGATGAAGACGTTCTGGCCCTTTTACCCTCTTTCTTCTACATAAAAATTTCAAATAAAAGATATGTTCCCCTAAAAACAGAATATGGCTTTAAGAGGAAAATGGAATAGAGAATTCAATTCTGATTTCAGGTTTGGGGGAATAATACAGCTTCTGGATGACTGGATTGGATCATGTGCCCTGGCCTCACATTGTACTAGGATGCAGCTTGATACAGTCATCTCTGATCTACTAACCTTTCACCTTCTTAACAAAACTTTTTGAATAGACACACACTGTACAGTTCAATTGTTAGAGAACCTAACTACTGTAGAGATTGTTATAATTTTTTTTTTGCAAAAATTCAAGCTGTAAAAACTTTTCAACTTTCACAATATTTAATTAAAGTTACTTCCTGTCTGTGATGGCAGTTCCTCGTGGTGTATTCATTTCTGCTTCACATGACCCTGAGTCCAACGTCAAGTACAAGGTCTGTGTTTGCAATTTCTCAGACGAGTGTTGACACTCAGAGAAAAGAAATTAAGGTAATCTTGGGATGCCCACTTTCTGTGTAGACCCTTGGGGAATCTGCTCATCTGGGATGCAAATTGAACACACACAGCGTACTGCTGCCCTCTGCCGGCACTGGCTGAATGTGCGTGTGCTCACACTGCCCACCCAGGAGGTGAGAGAGCCCTGGCAGTTTCACTTGTCAAGCAATGAGCCCCTCCTCCCACGCTCTGATTCACTGTGAACCCTGGGTCTGTCCAGTGTAGAACTCCATTCCTCGCGCCACAAGTCTGAATCAGACTCCTTGCTTACACCTGCTAATTAATCCCAGTGTGGCTTCTGGTCAGTGACTGCGCCCTGGCTCATGGATGAGGAGGTGTGTGTGAACTCCCAACATTTTGTGATCTATATTTCTTAGTCTCATGTGGCTAGGACAGTCTCCATGTCAAACAGAATGTACATTCATCTGGAGTCAAACATTGCACTAATGCCTAACAGGTACACTACGGTGGAAAATGGTTTCACCCTATGTACTATCAGATTCATAAGTCTTTCCAACTGCACACTCAATGCTTTTCCTACTTTTGCAATTATTGGACAAGATAAGGTTAACGAGGCTTGCAAAATGTCCTGAAACCTCAGCAAATAGGCCATGAACCAACAGAAACTTGATGAGCAGTGCTAATAGAATGTCATACAACTGCCAGCACAATCATTTGTGGTGGGCACTGCTGATATACTTGCTCTTGAACATAACTCAATTTGTTGAGGAAAGAGTATAATGTGTAAGTAGGTAGAGAAGCTGCCCTATTTTTACCAACTGCAAAACTTGTGCTAACAAACTTTTTTTGAAGTCTGCATTAGATACAGTTCCTAGTATTGTACAAGATGAAACGGAACAAGTGTTCAGTCATCCCACAACACAGCGTCTCAGGCAGGACCAGCCCTGACCTAGACAGGCTGAGGTGGACATGCTACTATCACATATAGAATAAAAACAGATATGTCTGCTTCTGATACACCAGCTTCTACCTGCTAGGAATTTACAGAAATGTCCATTTATCCATTGCTGTAAGCCTTGTTTACTAAGTGTTTACTGCCCCTGGACAAGACATGGCATCCGCCAAAGTATTCAATTAAGCTTTCTCACCATTTTGTAGCTTATGATGGAGCAGGGCACAGAGACATTAAGGAAGCCCACAGTCCATAGAACAAATCAGTAATGGTAACAAAGAAAAAGCCATGAATGCCCTGGAGGCATGTTGTAATGGAAGCTGACTTAGCTTGAACATCTGGAGATGGTGTCCAGTGAAAGCAACATCTGAGCGGAGATGAGCAGAATGTGAGCTGGTGGGCCAAGTGCCTTGGGAAGAGGGGATGAGGCCAGGTACCAGGGCTTGGATCAAGTACATCCGTGCAAAGAGCCTGAGTGCAGTAGGCAGATGTACAAAAGGAGACCTGAGAGCTCAGGCAGGCCAATTCAGAACATGTGCCAAACCACCTGCTATGTGCTTGGTGCTGTACACAATACCTCGGGGCACTGAGAAACTGGAAGATGTTCCCTGTAGGGCTTCAGGCAAGGCTAGTCAACTGACTGCCCCATATTAGTCCACGAGGGCTATGCTGCTTTAAAATTGGGGGGGAGGGGAGAGTAAGATACATTGGGACTACCAGGGTGTGAGGCTCCACCTGATGTGAGCACACTATGCAGCAGGATCCCAAACACTCGGGTGGGGGGGGGGGCATCTTCTGCTGCTTTTCCCAGTGCATTAGCAGGGAGCTGGAGCAACAGGAATGTCAAACAGTGCCACTTTGTGATGCTGGTGTCATGGGTGGCAGTTTTACCTACTATGTCACAGTGCCAGTCTTGCAGAGAAAAAAAAACCCTCACAAATTAGTCTACATTTAAGCACATTTTTCAGACAAGTGAACTCTTTCCAGTACACCTCGCTCATGGCAACACCTGTCCCAGCAAGCACATTCCTAAGCACTTTCCCCCAAAAATGATCTTCTCAGCATCATGGCTTTTCCCTGGCCTACAAGCAAAACTTTCGTGGAAAGAAAACAGACTGCTGGAGCTCACCTTGCTTTCAGTCTGTCCACAGCTCCCTCTTATAGCGGATCTGTTTCTCTGGTTTTCTCCATTGCCATTTTCCCATTGTCCTTGTCACAAATCATGATGTTTATTCGCAGGATGAGTAGTGGGGAACTTGCCACACTGTATAAACAACAAATAAGGAAGATGTAATGTTATTTTCCAGAAGTATCATATTGGTAGATACAGGAGAGTGAAGGGAAGGGGAACAGTTGGGGAGCCATTGCAGTAGCCCAGGCAAGGGACAGACAGCGTGGTTTAGGAAGAGAACAGCACACATCATCAGGAGTTGGTAATTGGTGCAATGTGGGGGTTGAGGGGAAAGGTATTGTCAAGATAACGTTCAGTTAGTTTTGACTGGGACAAGTTTTGTTAGACAACCACTGGTTTTTCTGTTGGGGCTGTTTCCCTGCTAATGGAGAAATCCCAACTTCCTGTCCCCTTTCCCAATAGGAATCCTCTTTGCCAGACACTTCTATATTTACACGAGGAATGAGATTCAGTTTCCGGTGCTGGAAATTTTATTTTATTTATTTATTTTTTTTTACTTAAGCATCAGGCACTTTTATTTCTTTTCTCTGGAGAGTTATATGAGAGTGGGACTGATTTTTATCTACTTAGCACACATTTTTCCCATTGATTGTAGAATTTTTACATTCTATATTAAGAACAAAAGTTCTGAGCCCTGGAATTAGCCACAGGCCTGATGATAGGCCTTCTACAGGAAATACCTTGCACCGGGAATTATCCTGTAAGGAGAGTTGAGGGCTTCACAAAGATGTTGATGAAATGTCAGTGAAAAGGACAGAAGGTGATTTGTTCGGTAATGTACGTATGGATGGGATTCTTCCAGGAAAGCAAGGGTAATGAATGAGAACCAGGCCAAACAGCCATGGCCTTTTCTACAGCATTTACTCACTCAACATATTCTTACAGGGGCTCTCCTTTGTGATCGGCATTGCACTAAGGGCTGGGGTTGTGATTCTGTCTCAAATAGAGCTATTTCTTCCCATCATTACTGCCTAAGCAAGATAGAGACATGCGTCAATCACTCAAACATAAAATTACACACTGCCATAAATGCTGTTGTAACCCCAACATGTCTGAGTGAGCACGTGATCCTATCTGTGTGACATCAACCTACCTAAAAATTAAAAAGGAATCGAATTCCCATATTTAGATCTTTCAAAGGCCACTGTGCAGACTTTAAGTCCACAGCAATATGCATTGGAATTCTCTTTCTTCTACGTTCCTTTCCCTCAGCCTGCATGGTCCTCGCTGCTCTCTGCCACTGACAGGACAGGGCCCTCCTCTGTTCTGAGGTTGCATGTGGTCTCATTCTTGCATTCACCAGCCTCTGCCATTGCTTCATTTTCTAAGAAATCTCTTTCCTACACAGAAATCCCTCCTCCAGCAGAGCAGGGGAAAGGGAGACACTGTTTCAGGACAGGGTGAGGGGTGCTAACTCCTCCCCTTAGGAGGTGTGGCCTGGGCTATTGACAGGGACAAGTTCAGGGAGCCAAGGGCAAACACAGCCAGATGAATTGAGCTGGTGGTGGGTGGGAGAGGCCTGAAGGAGGCAAGGTCAGTTAAGGAGGCAACGTTTGCAGAACAGCAGAGAGCACTTCCCAAATGGGTGCCGGGGCACCACAGGACTGATGAACACAGACTACTGTTCTGTTGACACCATTCTTCTTTTCCCCACGGACTTCCCCTCCTTCTCACTTCATCTTCCTCCTTGCTTCATTTGTTTTTCCCCTACTTTTTCATGCTGACTTGCTTCATCTTTGCCTGTGCGCCTGTCCTGATCCTAGCTCTAAAAGCAGTTCCATGACTCCAAGTATTACAATCTCCCTCAACCAACAGTCCTGCTCCCTCTCCTTCCCCCCATTGCATCCTGAGCCCATGAAATGATTTAATGCTAATCTAGGGACGTGGTGAACATCTCATCACATTTGTCAGTCATAATCAGATGAAAGGCTAGCAGTCCATGATATAGCTTCCCATTTTCCAAAGATAAGCACTCTGTATCCCCACCATGAACCCCAGAAACCACTACAGCCCAACATGCTCAACTTTATTCTTTCAATAACAGTACATACTAACTTGACTTCCTATAGAAATCACACAGCGGGGAGCATTGTGGAACAGTGAGGCCACCATATTGCCTGCTGATGGCTGTGATTGGAGTACAGTTTTGAGTCTCAGTTCTTCGGCTGTGGATTCACCTCCCAGTTGATGCACTCTCCCCCTCTCTCTGTCACTCTTTCAAACAAATAAACATTTTTAAAATAAATCATTCAAATCCTTTATTCCTCAGTTCTTCATATTTGTTCAAAATGTAATAGTATTTATTTTAAAACATGTCTAAAAAGATGATCAAAATAAGTCACATGCTGATTTATTCAGTGCATGACACATTTAGCCACTCAAGTTTAGGAATTGTTTTTCTATTTTATGTGTACATCACAATATATTCACCTGATGGAGGGTTATCTTTTATCCCATGTTATTTTTATTCAATTGATATAATAAAATTTCAAAGGAATAAAAGTGAAAATTCTGCTTATCATATCCATGGCATCCAAAGGGGCACCTCAAAGAATGGATCTTTTTTTTTTTTTTGGTCAAAAACAGAAGCAAAATAACAAATGAAAAATAACCTATAAATCATTTACTTTTCTTAGAGTACCTCTATGTTACCTAGTGCCATGGAACTCCAGACATAAAAAAGGAGAACCACTCTGGAATTGGCACCTGCCGAAGGAAGCAGATGCTAGATGGTGCATCTCCAAGGCAGGGGCCTCGCACTGCAGTTGAG